CTCTTTTTTTCTTTGTTCCGGTGGATAGAACTCTAGTCCTTCCACTTGTAAGGCAGGCAGCCAAACCACTGAGCTAAATCCCCAGTCCAAAAATAATACAGATTTACAGTCAAAAAAAACTTATATATTTATTTCTTTTTTTCTTTGTTCCGGTGGATAGAACTCTAGTCCTTCCACTTGTAAGGCAGGCAGCCAAACCACTGAGCTAAATCCCCAGTCCAAAACTAATACAGTTTTACAGTCAAAAAAGATTTATTTAGTGAATTTATGTTTCTTGGAAGAAATTTAGCCAAAAATTCTGTCTTTTAAGGAAGGTTATCATTTAAAGCGGATATCATTTCAATTATTCATTTGGCCCAGGAAGTGTGACCTTGTGAGGTTAGTAGGTGGGGCCTGGACTTTTTCCAGCTGTATATAAATAGTCACTTCAGCTAATGTTAGAGTTTAGAGCTGATTTCCAGTTCCATACATGTGGAAGGTTAGAGGACAAGAAGGCTTCTGAAGAACTGGTGATCCTTTCACCAGGGCAAACCAAAGTAGACCCCTATAATATCTCAGGTCTCAGTCAAATACTGGGTTTCTGGAAGTGCTCACTCACTCTGTAATGAAGGGGATTTATCTGCTCTGCTTGATGCAGCGACAGGCCTGCCATCTCCTGGTCTCATATAACATTTGGGCTCAAGACTGGGTCTGACCACAGGCCTTTGTATTCTCCCGAGGATCTGACTTTCCAGAGGTGAGACTGAAACCCAGACAGGGAGTGGATCAGCGTTACTCTTTGCATAGAGTATTGGGAGAGTCAGGTCCCACTGAGGCTTTGAGGAGACCCACAGAGCTCTGCTTTCTAAAGAAAAAATTGAAAACGTACTTTCCATTAATTATCTTTTAATCTCCATTATTTGCTGTGACCAGTCCCCTAACCCAGTTTTCTGAGTGGTTGGTCTATTTCGTAAGTCTAGTTATAGTTTATAGTCTGCTAATGTTTATAAATAAAATACTTGATCATTCATTGTGTGTAACTAGTGTGATCACTGCTTGAAATTATGAGGCTTTTTTTTTTTATTGATTTTTCTTCCCAAGAGTGCATAGGGAGATGATTGATAGTTGAGTGGCTTGGTTCTGTGGCCCTTTTTTCCTGCTTTAAATGTGTCAGATGGGCCTCTGCTGTGCTGCAGAGTGGACTGGGTGCTTGTGGCGGCCACTGCTCAGTGTGGGTACCCAGAGCTCAATTACTTAAACTGGTGGGATTGGACTGGAGGAATAGTTTAGTGGCAAAGCCATTGCCTAGTATGGGTGGGGCCTTTTTGTTAAATCTCCAGCAAAGCACACACACATACACACACACACACACACACACGATTAAACACCTGGTTAGCACATTCACTTTCTGTTACATTTAACATGTTATTCTATTTCTTTACAGGAATACACATGGTTTGATAAAAGCCATTATGAAATTATTACAAATGCAAGCTCTAAAGGAAGGACAAGGTGGGGAAAAAAACATTCAGCATATGTATTCTATTAGGTAAGTCTTTTCTCCTGTCTTTCTAAAGAAAATTGAATTATTAAGGCATGATATGAGACATGATAATCCACTAAGAATTAGTTATTTAACTCAGCAGCACAACAATGATTGTAGTTCCTGTTTCAAAGAGGATTGAGATAGAGTTGATCACTAATGTGAGTTTTAAGGTTGCTTCCTTAGGATTGAAGTTGGTTACCAAATTCAGATTATTCTTTTTGCTTTAGAGTATGTAACTATCTCCCATTTCTGTGAACATTGAAGTGTTCACTGAGTAAATGTACTTAAAGCACAAGGGGTTCAGGCAGGACACGAGGGTAAGCTTCCTCAGTATAAAATGCACAGTCAGACTTTGGTACTTGATTGCTTTGAAATTTGTCTAATTTAGCACTTGACACATTTTGATGGGGAAAATGTGTCCCAGTACTCATCGTTCATTTGGTGCTTGACCTGTAAGCTAGAACTTGTTGGTGTGATTGCTTCCTGACCACTACCCTTTCCAGCCAGAACACTTCGGTGATGGGTTTGGTGGTCTGAGCAGCAGTTACTGACTAGTGATGAGATACCACGGTAATAGAAGACTGTTGTCTGCGAGTGTTATTACCTGGGCAAGGTCTGGAATTAGGAGTGCTTTGTCTGTATAGAATGTTGTAGAAATGAGAATGTAACAAGATAGAATTATTTAAAAAAATAAAAGCAGCTATCATAGTAAAATGGATTTTATAGTGATCCTTTCACCAGGGCAAACCAAAGTAGACCCTATAATATCTCAGGTCTCAGTCAAATACTGGGTTTCTGGAAGTGCTAGTTGAGAAAGAGTTGTAGTTCAGAAAGAGTGCTAGTACCCCAGAGAGTTAAGAGAGGGCTCTCAGTTAGTGGAGGATCTGGAAGGCACACATAATCAGTTTATTTTGTCTGAAGAACTCTGTTCAGTGACAGATCCAAAATGTGCCCGTTTCTGAAGGCTGAGACTGTGGAACCATAAACAGGTCATTGGTTTATGGAGGGAAGATGGCTTACATGGGCTGTGGCAATACAGCAGGGAACGGAAATCAGGTATCTGTTTGAGATTACAGTGCCCGTAGTCTTGAGGCTTTGACACTGCAGCTATCAAAAGCTGTCAGAGAATCTGCCTTTTGCTTACTTGTATTTATCCTGCTTTACTTTCCATAATTAGTAAACAGTATTTCACATGTTACCATGATCCTCCCTGTAATTTTAGTGGTACTTATGATCTTTTTTATTTTTATGAGTACATTACTGAGAGTTTCTTTCTTTCTTTTTTTTTTTCGGTACTGGGATTAAACTCAGGACCTTGTGCTTGCAAGGCAGGCGGCGGCACCACTGATCTAAATCCCTGGCCCCGCTTAAGCTATTTTTTTTAAAATTTTACTTTATTTTATTTTTTTTTTTGGTTTTTTTGAGACAGAGTCTCACTCTGTAGTTGAGACTGACCTGGAACTCACTATGTAGGCCAGGCTGGTCTCGAACTTGCAGTGATCCTCCTGCCTCAGCCTCCGGAGTTCTGGGATTACAGATGTGTGCCACCATGCCTGGCCCTTAAACTATTTTAAAAAACAAGATTGGATTTGTATTTTATATATTTTTCTTAGAAAAAAAATATTCTGTGAATATTTTCAAATGTGAAAAGTTGGAGGAATGTGGTGTAATGAATTTATTGATCAGTTTAAATAGACATAGAAAGAAATTTATTTGAAAATACTTTAGAAACTTGGAGTGTGCTGGGTAAAGTTTCAAATTGATAAATATCCATTTTTTAAAACATGGTAGTGCTCTTTTGTAAGGCAGGTTTCAAGTTTCTCCTTTATGTATTGCCTTGAGTAGAATCGATCTTTTAGAAGAGCAAATCTTAGTATTTCTGGAGAAACGTTAGTATTTCTCTTGTTTAAAAAGAAATTAAAAAAAAAAGCTCAAAGTCTTGGGCCTGAGTTCCAGGACAATTCCTTTTCATTGTTGTTCAGTGAGGGTTATTTATTTGTAAATAGAGATGCTTTTAAGGTTTAAATTTAATTTTTGTACCAGTTGCAATTTACATGTGATTGACTCATTTACAATATATAACTAACTCAGTGGATTTCAGCATATTCACAGAGTTATATGGCCATCACCGCAATCAGTTTAGAATATTTCATCATCCCCTAGAAACTCCTCACCCATTTGCAGTCATACCATATTTTCCCCTGAGCCAGTGAGGCATTTTTGAAATCTTGGCTTCTCAAGACTGGCTCCTTCATTAGAACCACCTGCGTGTGCTTAGAAACACACGCAAGGAGTCAAAATATCCCACACCAACTGGGCCAGCACCTTTGCAGTGAGGCCTGCTGTTTTTTAACTGATCAGGTGCTTCTGGTTCACAGCACAGTGTGGCAGTCAGCTGCTCTCTCCAGCCTCTGTGCTGCTCCGTTGAAATCTTGCTGAACTGCAGACTCTGTCCTTACCTTAGGCTGTGCTCAGGATGCCTGTCTAACACGCTCCCTCATGACCCGGTGCTGCCCCCACACTGTAAGTGGCAGAGCTGCATGGCATCAGCACTGCCTGGGAGCTGGTTTAGGAAGGCAGTGACTTGAACTCCATCGCAGACTCCCTGAATCAGAGCAGGTGTATTAGAAAGATGTTTCAGGTAACTCATGGGTACCTTAATGTTTGAGACGGGCTGGTTTCAATAACAATAAAAGAAACTTTTGCATCATGCGGAGGAATTAGGGTCACTCTCATTTTCATTCTGATTGTCTCACTGTCTGATTGCTGGACCTCCAGTCATCTGTAATGTTTTACTTGTTTTGTTTATAATTCACTTGCTCTTATAGTTGGTTCTTTTAACTGCGGTCTTATTTTCAAAAGGCAATTAAAAAAAAGGGCAATAGGTATAACGTGGGAATAGTGAACTTAATTTGAGGAGCCAAAAAGAATGGATACATAAGGGTTGTCCTTAGATAGGTGGCACATTAAGAGGTCCCGAATCAGCCACATAAGTTGGCATAATCTGGTAATGTTTATGGAGAGTCCTTATGTGAATGGCTGTTTGGTGCTATAAATCAGTAGAGTGTAATTGACTGGATAAGAGCCTTTAGTTTCTCCAGAGGGGATTGTGGAAAGCAGAAACAGAAGAGAGGTGAGCTTGAAGAGCAGATTCTCCTCAAGAGAGCTATGATTACCTGAGTCAAGCATAAAATTGTCATGCTGTTTTAGTGCCTTTTTGGCCACATGTTGGTTAGCAATATCATCTAGCCTTGGAGAGGAGACTGATGAGCTGTGTAAGAAAGCATTAAAAAGGATATGAGGGCTAAGGACCCCAGTGAGAGTCTCCTTTAGTTATGATGTAGGATGAATTTAAAGTAGAAGTAACAGGTAACTGCATGACAGGTAACTGTAAGTTATCTGAGTGTGAAATTAATCTTTTTATGGTATTAAGGACTCTTGTATCTGTTTTTCTTCTTTTTATTCAAATGGCTCATTAATTGGAATGCTAAGAAAACAAAATGTCTGGTCATTTTAAATGGGCCTGTACTCAATTGCATAAGTTATTTAGTATGGGAATAGAGAGAGAATATTTGAGAGCCACGAATCTTCAGTCACTGGCTTCTCCTGGCCCCTATCAATTTCCTGAAGGAGCCCTAAAGAAGGTGTTCTTTTTGTTGTACCTAGGACTTCATGGTTCTCAAATTTCTTTCTTTTTTTTTTGAGATAGGGTCTCACTATGTAGTTGAGTCTGACCTGGAATTCATTATGTAGCCCAGGCTAGTCTTGAACTCATGGCGATCCTCCTGCCTCAGCCTCCTGAGTGCTGGGATTAGAGGCGTGCGCCACCATGCCCAGCCTCAAATTTCTTACTCATAGAAACCACCTAGGATAGTTTCTCAGTCCCACGTGCTAGAGGTTCTCATTTATTCAGTAGTTTTGTGAGACTTGGGAATCAGCATGTTTGTCCAGTTGCTCAGGAAGACAGATAAAGGCTCTCTGTGCATCACACTTGAGCAGTATTTCTGCAGCCCTGAGTTGGGTAGCACCACCTGTGATGTGAGCTGTAGGGACCCTGTTGGGGTCAGCTAGAAGGATCATGAGTGGCTCAGTAACACCTCTTTCCTTCTGTTCCCTGTCTGGAAGGCAAGAGATCTCTGCGCCAAGTTTGTCTTACTCTGTCAGCCCAGCACAGTGGAGAGGCCAAGGGCAGGTCCAGAGAACAATTCTAAAGGAAAACAGTGCAAGGAGAACAAGGCAACTGCAGACCCAAGAAAGGAATGCAAGATCGTTTGTTCGGTGAAATACTCCCATGGCCCCCATGTGTGTTCAGTTGTTCATGGGCAGATAGTGGGTGGGTGATTGTAGGAGCAGGAGGGGAAGAAAATGACCCTGTTAGAAAATGACCCAGGTTTTCAGTGTTTACTGTGTATAAGAGCACAAAGAAGGAAAGAGGTGTTACCGAGCCACTCATGATCTTCTAGCGGACCCCAACGGGGTCCCTACAGCTCACAGGTGGTGCTACCCAACTCTTAGGGCTGAGCAACCAGACAAACATGCTGATTGAACTTTGGCTGTGTATGTCTGGAGCATGACTGTGCATCTGTACTTTAGCACAGGGTTTGGATGCAGGTGATCTACTTTGAAGAACATTGGGATACAGTGTGTGTGGCTAAAGCTAAGATTGCTTAACCAGACCTTTTTTGTAGGCATTCCTTGTTTAGCCCAGCGACTTAAACAAGATTAGGTGGGGATAGTTACATGCAGCTGCACTTGTGGGTATTTTTGAGGATGGGGGTAACTGGAATAACAATTCTGTATATTTGGTTATTGTGATTAACTGAAGAGCATTTACCAAGTGTAAAACACAAGTCCCACGAGTCTCAACTCTAGCTGCACATTAGAGCAACTTTTAAGAAAACACATTCCTGTCTACCAACAATAATGGGAGGGTCGGCCTGGGGCATCGATACTATCCCAAAGCTCCAGTGTGACTCCCAGCATGCAGGTAGGTGGAGAATGAC